ACCCGCCTTGGAAGCAAAGGCTTTCAACGTACTAGGAAGTCACTGGTAAGGGACAAATTTTGGAGAAGGCACGACGAACTTCACCATCAGCGGTCTTGATTGTAGCAACACGATTGATTTTGTCACTGCCCGGAAACACCTAATTATACGTCCCAGCCGCCATTTCATTGGTGGAACGTTATTTTCTTTTATCAGTACAAGTTGTCCAACCTGCAGTTGGCCATGGGTCTGCATCCACTTGGAACGCCTTTGCAGCTCGACGATATATTCTCTGCTACAACGATTCCAGAAATGCTGGTTTAATACTTGTATATGTTGATAATGAGAAAGTCTGTTTTCTGGCATGCCATGTAGGCTAGGCTCAGGTATTGCCGTAAGAGGTCTCCCGACCAGAAAATGGGCTGGAGTTAATGGAGAAAGGTCTTCAGGATCGGACGATAATGGGGAAATAGGACGAGAGTGTAGTGTCGCCTCAATCTGGACAAGCAAAGTGTAAAAGTCTTCATATGTCAAGGACACGTTACCTAAAATATGCCGCCGAAATGCGGTGAGCTACTCGGTATGAAATGCCACCTTATTTTAAATTCAGTAGATCCTTCCGTTATTTTTGTGGAGTTGCTCCCGAGAAAGGTACCCAATTCCTTTAATGCACCGACAAAGTTCGTACCATTGTCCGAGTACACATCAGTGGGTTTGCCACGCCGCGAAATGAAACGTTTCAAAACTTGTATGAATGATTGACTACTTAAGTCGGATACGACTTCTAAATGGATGGCTCTAGTCACGAAACAGACAAATAAGCAAATCCATCCCTTTGAAGTTTTACTTCCGCAACCCTTTCGGTCTTTTAACAAAAATGGGCCAGCATAGTCCACACCCGTTACGGCAAATGGTGCGGCCGGTTGCACGCGCGATGCAGGTAAGTCACCCATAAGGGGCTGTATTGGTTTAGAATTAAATCTAGCGCATTTTACGCAACCTCGAGTAATCTTTCTTGCTATATTACGTCCGGAGATTGGCCAAAAATTGTCTCTTACTTGAGCCAAAAGTAGTTGTGGTCCAGCGTGTAATAAAATCTTGTGCTCGAATTCAAAGATCAGTTGAGTAAGATAATGTTTTGATGAAATTAAAGCTGGGTGTTTTTTATTGAATGAGAAGTTCGAATTTTTTAGACGTCCACCCACTGGAATGATACCATCCTCATCCATGAATGGATTAAGGCTCAAAATTTTACTATCAGATTTAAGAGTTTTTTGTTGCGAAAGTCTAATATAATCCATCGGGAATGATTGTCTTTGGGAGATTTTTATCAAAGTTTTAAATGCTCGTTCGAGCTCATCGACACTCAATAGAGAATCGGCACATTCATTTGGTTTACGACAATTGTGGATGAATCTTAATATGTACGCCATTGTTCGTTTTAATCTAGAGAGGTTTGAAAATCTTTCAAATGGAAAATTGAATTCGTTTTTATGAGTAGACAGTAAATTTCGTTTTCTTATATCAGGTAAATCAAGATCGCTTAATTTTAAATTCAACCACGCAGGTCCGTTCCACCATAAACTTAAATCTACAATGCCTTTCGGGCTAATTCCCCTTGACACAAAATCTGCGGGATTGTCCCTTGTCGGTACGTGACGCCATGCGTTCGGATTGGTAAGTTTTTGGATTTCCGCAACGCGGCTATCTACGAATGGTTTTAATAGGTTCGGTGCACTATGTAACCAACCTAACACGATGGTAGAATCTGACCATAATACAACTTTATCTATATTAATACACAAGGAATATTTAACCTTGGTGTACAACCGGGCTAATGTTAAAGCTCTGCATAGTTCTAAACGAGGCATAGTAAGTTTCTTTAAAGGTGCCACCTTGGATTTAGCGCATAATAGCTTAATAGTATATTCATAATTAGCGTTCAGTGACTTTACATAAATGTATGTGTCATACGCGACCTCCGAGGCGTCGCAGAAGCCTTCTAGTTCTATTGACTGGAATTATCGCACAAAACACGTCGTGGAATATTGAGATTGTTCAAATAGACCAATTCCGATTTAAATTCAGACCATTCATGATGTATTTGGAGTCATTACAGGCTGTGGAAAACATAGCCCTCCGCACGGCCACCGACGCGCCCTGGTAGGTACGTAAAAAACACTGACATATTACGAGACTTACAATACACAAACGCTACACAGACAATAAGACAAAACGCGGAGAAACGATCGGAGTCACTGGTAAGGGACAAATTTTGGAGAAGGCACGACGAACTTCACCATCAGCGGTCTTGATTGTAGCAACACGATTGATTTTGTCACTGCCCGGAAACACCTAATTATACGTCCCAGCCGCCATTTCATTGGTGGAACGTTATTTTCTTTTATCAGTACAAGTTGTCCAACCTGCAGTTGGCCATGGGTCTGCATCCACTTGGAACGCCTTTGCAGCTCGACGATATATTCTCTGCTACAACGATTCCAGAAATGCTGGTTTAATACTTGTATATGTTGATAATGAGAAAGTCTGTTTTCTGGCATGCCATGTAGGCTAGGCTCAGGTATTGCCGTAAGAGGTCTCCCGACCAGAAAATGGGCTGGAGTTAATGGAGAAAGGTCTTCAGGATCGGACGATAATGGGGAAATAGGACGAGAGTGTAGTGTCGCCTCAATCTGGACAAGCAAAGTGTAAAAGTCTTCATATGTCAAGGACACGTTACCTAAAATATGCCGCCGAAATGCGGTGAGCTACTCGGTATGAAATGCCACCTTATTTTAAATTCAGTAGATCCTTCCGTTATTTTTGTGGAGTTGCTCCCGAGAAAGGTACCCAATTCCTTTAATGCACCGACAAAGTTCGTACCATTGTCCGAGTACACATCAGTGGGTTTGCCACGCCGCGAAATGAAACGTTTCAAAACTTGTATGAATGATTGACTACTTAAGTCGGATACGACTTCTAAATGGATGGCTCTAGTCACGAAACAGACAAATAAGCAAATCCATCCCTTTGAAGTTTTACTTCCGCAACCCTTTCGGTCTTTTAACAAAAATGGGCCAGCATAGTCCACACCCGTTACGGCAAATGGTGCGGCCGGTTGCACGCGCGATGCAGGTAAGTCACCCATAAGGGGCTGTATTGGTTTAGAATTAAATCTAGCGCATTTTACGCAACCTCGAGTAATCTTTCTTGCTATATTACGTCCGGAGATTGGCCAAAAATTGTCTCTTACTTGAGCCAAAAGTAGTTGTGGTCCAGCGTGTAATAAAATCTTGTGCTCGAATTCAAAGATCAGTTGAGTAAGATAATGTTTTGATGAAATTAAAGCTGGGTGTTTTTTATTGAATGAGAAGTTCGAATTTTTTAGACGTCCACCCACTGGAATGATACCATCCTCATCCATGAATGGATTAAGGCTCAAAATTTTACTATCAGATTTAAGAGTTTTTTGTTGCGAAAGTCTAATATAATCCATCGGGAATGATTGTCTTTGGGAGATTTTTATCAAAGTTTTAAATGCTCGTTCGAGCTCATCGACACTCAATAGAGAATCGGCACATTCATTTGGTTTACGACAATTGTGGATGAATCTTAATATGTACGCCATTGTTCGTTTTAATCTAGAGAGGTTTGAAAATCTTTCAAATGGAAAATTGAATTCGTTTTTATGAGTAGACAGTAAATTTCGTTTTCTTATATCAGGTAAATCAAGATCGCTTAATTTTAAATTCAACTTTGGCCAGGCGGTATCATTTTCTTTCAACCACCTGCCGTTCCATCATAAACTTAAATCTACAGTGCCTTTCGGGCTAATTCCCCTTGACACAAAATCTGCAGGATTGTCCCTTGTCGGTACGTGACGCCATGCGTTCGGATCGGTAAGTTTTTGAATTTCCGCAACGCGGCTATCTACGAACTGTTTTAATAGGTTCGGTGCACTATGTAACCAACCTAACACGATGGTAGAATCTGACCATAATACAACTTTATCTATATTAATACACAAGGAATATTTAACCTTGGTGTACAACCGGGCTAATGTTAAAGCTCTGCATAGTTCTAAACGAGGCATAGTAAGTTTCTTTAAAGGTGCCACCTTGGATTTAGCGCATAATAGCTTAATAGTATATTCATAATTAGCGTTCAGTGACTTTACATAAATGCATGTGCCATACGCGACCTCCGAGTCGTCGCAGAAGCCGTATGGTTCTATTGACTTGGAATTATCGCACAAAACACGTCGTGGAATATTGAGATTGTTCAAATAGACCAATTCCGATTTAAATTTAGACCACTCATGGTGTATTTGGATGGGCAAGGATTCGTCCCACGTTAATTTTTCGGCCCATAATTTTTGTAACAAAATTTTTGCTTTCACAACGGATGGTGCTAAAAGTCCTAACGGATCGAAGATTGACGCTATTTGTGATAAGATTGACCTTTTGTTTATCTTATTAGAGCCAACATCGTCGTGTAATTTTAGCGTATACGTTAAATTGTCAACGTCACAAATCCATGTCAGACCTAAAGTCTTATAGTTTTGTTCTTACTTGTGAACTCCAAATTATTTGATATCATATCGTGGGCAACGTTGCTAACCACGTTCGGAACGTTACAACGCCATTTTCTTAGCTCGAACCCGCCGCTGGCTAAAATTTTAGAAATATCTGCGCACAGAGCTCTAGCTTCTTCTGGCGTATCAGTGCCAGTTAAAAGATCGTCGACGTACATGTCGGAGGAAATTATTTCGGACAATTTAGGACGCGACAACTTACATTCGTGGCTAATTCTTGTATGCATCGTATGGCAAGAAAAGACGCTGATTTAAATCCATATGTAACGGTATTTAGGTTGTAGGTAAATAATTCAGAATTTGGATTTTCTCGCCAAATTATTTTTTGCAATTCTCGTTGTTCAGAATTTACTAAAACCTGTCGGTACATCATTTTCACGTCACTTGATAAGATTATGGGATGCAGAATAATGGACAGTAGGTCATCTTAAATAACCGGGCCGGTCATTTGCAGGTCGTTCAATGACAATCCGGATGTTGTGCACGCAGAGGCATAAAAAACCACCCGCAATTTTGTTGTGAGTCTTGATTCGCGAAGAACGCCGTGGTGTGACATGTAATATTGTACGTTGTCGTTAAGCTTACCATCGCATTTGGTCATGTGACCTAATGATTCATATTCTCTGAGAAAATCTACATATAACTTACGCAACGTTTCATCTGCTTGCAATTTATTTTCTAATTGATAAAATCTTTTAACTGCCAAATTACGTGACTCGCCTAATTTTTGCAAACTATCTTTAAACGGTATTGAGGCTATGAATCGCCCGTCCTGATCACGCGTAAAATTTTTAGAAAAGTGCATTTCACAAAGTTCTTCTTCGACTGAATGAGGTTTTCTTGAATCTATCTCTTCGATTTCCCAGAATTTGGATAGATCGTCTTGAACGTCGATATTTTTAGAAAAATTGCAAACCGTTTTTTGCGTAAAATTATTGATAGGACCTGCTATAATCCATCCGAATCGCGTTTTTTGTAATATCGGACTATCCGGGCCTAGATTTATCTGACCGACGCACAAAAGTTTCCAGAAAACGTCTGCTCCTATTAAAATGTCTATCCTTTCAGGTATCTCGAAATTTGGATCAGCTAGCTTTATGTTACCAGGAATTCTCATGTCAATTTTATTTATCCTCATATCTGGTAGTTTACCTGTGATTTGTTTTATAACGTAACAATAAATATCAACGTTAAAGTCATTACATATGGAATACAATGTCACGTTGCATCTATGCCTTATTTGTGATACTAAGTTGTTTATACCCGATACTGCCAAATTTGAATCGATTTTACTTAATTTTAGTTTATTTGCCAACTCTTCTGTGATGAAGCTAGTTTGCGAACTGGAATCTAGAAGCGCACGTGCTACATGCATGGTTTCCTTTGCATCGCCTATATATATCTGAGCGGTAGATAACAATACATTTTTTGTGAATATAGATAGCGAGGTTGCCGGTGCCTCGGGCTCTTTCGGGGTTACCGCAGTTTCATTACCCGAGTTGTTAGCGTTTTTTGTCTGAATTTCCTCGTGAAGTAAAGTATAGTGTCTGCCGTGGCGTTTTCGACAACCGCCGATTGATCTACATTCTTTAACCTGATGTTTACCTCTTAGGCAATTAATGCATAATTTTAATTCACGTGCCTTAGACATACGATCCTTTATTTCTAAACTAAAAAAATCCGGGCATGTGTAAATTGAGTGATCTTTTTTACAAATTACGCATGTATATGATGGCTGCTTTGAAAATAAACTGTGCGTTTGTTCCTTTTCTGTAAAACGCTTTTCCTGTAAATTTGTTTCAACCGTTTCTAAAAGATCGGCTCGATTTTTTAGGAAAATTTTTAGATCTTCTAATGCAGGCGGATCGGTTAATTCGCATTTATATTTTTCCCACTCTTTAACCGTTATATTATCTAGTTTACTTGTTACTATATATATTATGAGCGTATCCCACGCATCTACTTGTTCGCCTAATTGTTTAAGACTTCGCAAATGCTTAAAAAATCGTCACATAAGCTTCGAATTTTGCTAGAGGATACTCGTAAAATATTATCAAGATTGAACAAAGCTCTAACGTGATTTTGGACCAATAATCGTTTGTTGTCGAAGCGTTCACACAAGATATTTGTCTATTTGCGTGAATTAAAGTCTCGAATACATCACGGAATTCTATCCATTGGTCATAGGAACCGTTGAATTTGGATAATTGTATCGTGGGCAACTTCACGCTGTCGTGCGACATGTTATTAGAATGGGTAGTATTATCGTCTGACATTGCAGTATTTTCTTTTATTTTTGACTTTAAAATAATGATTTAGCTTTGGAAATAAGATTGCAGAATTTTGTTTCAATTTCTTCGCGTACAACGTGATGATCTTCTGGATTTGTGGCTACACATTCAAGTTCATTTTGTATGTTATCAAAATCTTTAATTATTTGTTCTGCCCTAATTATTCTTTGCTCTAGCTCAATATGTTTAGCATCATTTATAGCTTGATCTACACTACTTATTTCTTTGTCTAAGGAGATACATATTTTTCAAATGCTGTTAATCTGGCTTTAACTGATGAGCGTTTTTTAATTAGATTTTGCTCTGACATTTTGTTTTATTTTAATTTTATCAACTATGCTAAATAATATTTGCTTCGTCAAGAATGAGCGAACACAACTCAGTATGGGATGTGAATTGAAACGGACTCACCCAGTTCTAGTCGTTTATATGGTTTTTCTCTTTGACGCCCTACCCGTGCTTGAGTCTGTTTGACCGCCTTGGAAGCTGCGTCGTTTGCCTGCTTTTATTTCCAACGCCCAGCCGGTGCTTGAGTTTGTTTACCGCCTTGGCTGCTGCGTATTTGTTTTCTTCTTGGTTTGATGTATATGTGATGTTCTGCAATCCGTGCTCGTACGGGACCAATTTGTGTTTGGGACTTAGTGGACTGTAATTAACTTCTTTTGTTTGCAATAACTTTATTGTAAATAATAACAATTGTGATAAATGAAACAAGCGAGCGTATGTCTGCTAAAGTTCCATGCATACTGTCCTAGACCACAGAACACCCTCTAGAATAGAAACTGATTACTCAGCATTTTTACACACAGTTGATAACAGCGCCTTATGTGAATGCGATCCAAAGTTTCGCATTTAGCGTAGACAATTACTCCTGATTTGTTACTGAAGCTATTCAATAAAAGATGGCGCTACTTTGAGCGGTAAATTCGATTTTGACAATTTTGATTAATATTTATGTATCTAGGACGAAAAGTGAAGCTTTAAGGTACAAGTAAATTTTTACGGCAGAAGCGTAGTCGAGGCCGTAAAAATTTACAATTTTTATGACTATTTAAAAAATCAAATAGCATTTATTTATACTATGGTAATACGTGGGTTATCATAGAAATTTCTTTGAAGTACTAGAACTTTTACTTTATCGTCCTAGAACATTAAAGTTAAATTTTTTGTCCTAAAAATAATTCAAAAAATGGTTCACAATTGAACAGTATGAAATAAAATCTATTTATAAATTTGACTATTAAAAAAATAACTTAAAATTTTGCATAAAAACAAACTAACCCATCATACTTATTAACAAATCATTTCAGGTAAAAAAAGAGTAGTTTAAAATAACCATAAGAAAACATATTCATTTTCTAATTTCCTTAATAGAAATGGGTTTAACATAATTATAACAAAATTTTTCATTTAGGTTCTAAAATGATGGATGAATTGGCATATACCAGTGTGGACTTTTATTTTTACATATATGAATTATTTGAATAGTACTATTGGCAGTTGCTCTTTAAGAGGACAATAGCCCAATAATAATCAGTAATCACAAAGCATGCTCATTAAGTCAATATAAAGGGTTAAGAAAATATAACAAATCTTTTTTACTACTCTACAAAATACCATAAACCAAACAGAGTGAAACTACAGCGCTTAATTAAACAAACAATAACAAACTGTGTTAAAACAATAATCGATAATACGTTGATCGTAATGACGTGTCGGTATTTTCTGTGATTCACTTAAAAACCATTCAAACATGTGGTGCTATCTCTGTATTTTTGTTTCAACTATAAGTCGCCAGCAGCGCCGCGAGTGAATGAGATCCCAAGTTTTTGGAAATTAGCGGGAAGTAGCTAGCTTTCTATTCTAGAAGGTGTTCTGTGTCCTAGACTAGAACACGCGAGAGAGCTTGAAGCACGCCGGCCGTTCGGATTTGTTCGAGTGGGGACGATGACGCGCCTAGCCTCGCCTTCGTCCGGGCCTAACTAACACTCGCGTAAACAATGCCATTTGACTAAAACTTGGATAATTGGACAATAAAACACTGCATTTGTTTAAAACCTTATCAGATAACGGGGTTAACCTTAACGAGGTCCAGAAAAAAATTCATATTTGTTATTTTTTTATTTTAATTTGGACTCAAATTTAATCTGCTTACTAACCATTAAAAACTCACACACTCACACAATTGTAAAATACTAGAAAAAATGATAAGATTGGCACTTAAACGTAAAAAATATTTTTTAAATTATTTATTTGAGTAATCTATACTTTCAAAAAATTTTTGGCGGTCCAGTATTTTACCTTGCGCGGTCCGGACCTGGACCGCGGTCCGCCAGTTGCCAACCCTTTATATAGACGATTACAAACATGCAATCGAGCAGCTGGACAAGCATTTTGCTCCAAAACAGAGCCGCATATATGAACGACATTTATTTAGAATAATATCACAGACGGCCGACGAGAAATTTGACAGTTTTCTTATTCAGCTATGACGACAAGCGGCAATATGTCAATTTAGCAACGTGGACGAAAACATAATAGACCAAATTGTTGAGAAATGCAAGTCAGATAAATTGAGGAGAAAAATTTTGGAAATGGATGACACCAAAACACTAAATGATATTATTTCGATAGCTATGTCTTTAGAAACCGTTCAATCATAGATGGATAAGTTTACATCATGGACAGGCAATGAACAGCAATCAGAGATAAATAAAATTCAAAACGACTCCACGTTTCGACGAACCAGCAAGCCAGGGGTTTTAAAGTCAAATTACGTCGAATGTTTTCGCTGTGGCCTTAAAGGTCACATAGCTAAAGATAGTACTTGCCCGGCTCGGAACAAAATATGTTCAAGTTGTGGAAAACTGGGGCATTTTAAATTAAAATGCCGAACAAGGCCAGTAAACTTGCATCGAGGCTCAAATCAACCTAGCAAGAAAAGGAGACGTGAGGAGGACATCCGTCATGTGGAACAAGAAGGTGAGGATGACGCGGTGAATATATTTTTCATATGGGGGAAGATGATGGAATTAAATGTGTGGTGGGAGGAGTCGAAAATGGTCATCGATTCCGGTAGCAAGAGTAACATAATTAGCGGAATTACTTGGAAACGCATGAAGGACAACGGTGTTAAAGGTCGTCAGACAAATGAAAGGCTCCGATAAAACATTTAAATCCTATGCAAACGTTAATCCTTTGGTAGTATTGGGATCTTTCGAATCTGAAATCGAAAAAAGCGAATAAAAGCTCTCGAGAAAGGTTTTATGTGATTGAAAATGGAAAGACGGACCTCTTAGGCAAAGAAACGGCTATAAAATTGGGCGTTTTGAAATTAGGGCTCGACATTCAATCAATTGAGCAACAATCATCACAGCCTTTTCCAAAGATAAAAGGAGTGTCAATAAATATCCCAATAAATGCTGAAGTGAACCCCGTCATACAACCTTTGCGGAGGATACCAATACCATTAGAGGAAAAAGTAAATGCAGAACTGGATAAACTGATTCAGCGCGACATCATCGAGCCAGTAAATGGGCATTCGAGTTGGATTTCGCCGATGGTACCAGTTTTGAAGTCAAATGGAGAAGTTAGACTCTGTATCGACATGAGGAGAGCAAATCTTGCCATACTCCCATACTCCCCATAATGGGAAAATCACCCATTACCTACTATGGATACATTTTTAACGAAACTACGGAAGGCACGCTTCTTTTCCAAACTAGATGTAAAGCAAGCTTTCCATCAGGTTGAAATATCACAGAACTCACGATACATAACCACTTTTATTACACACAGAGGATTATTTAGGTATAAGAGGTTGTTGTTTGGCATCACTTGCAGTAGTTAAACAGTGAGAGAATGAAGCCACTTCAAGGTCACTCCAGGCTGCCACCGGGCTGCCGCCATCCGGAGCTGGCACCAGGTCTCCAGCAGCAGCTCCAAGGTCACGCTGAAGAAGTGTCAGTGGTGTGCGGGGGTGGGGGATCTGGATTGCAGAAGAAGAAGCCGGGGTCCGTCATCGGCAATGACCACCAGGAGGTCTGCATCGAGGAGCGTGACGTCAGAGGCGGCACCAGGTGTG